TCAGAAAGCTCGCTGCTTATGGTCACACTTGTTTCCTGTGTGACCTGGATGGCCGCAGACCCTACCTGACTTAAGCGGTCGCGCGCAGAGATGCTCCCCGTTCACGCAGGCTTTCTCCTGCTGGTGTGGGCACTTGCCTTGCTGCCAAGCCCCACATAGTGACTTACCGTCTCTCAGCTTCGTCGCCAGCTGATTGCCACTTGAGCGAGCACCTGGATTGGATGGCGGCGCACGCGCAGGCTCTGCTGGCCTCATGTGGGCTTCCGGAAGCCACAACGGATCGCGAGTTGTGTAGGCCTCATTGATGACTGCTCCCAGAGTCTTCCCGCCCTTGGAGAACTCAGCAGCCCACATGGTGCGCTCAGCAGTGTCGAGCTTCTCCAACACCTGCAGCCGGTGGGGATGATGCTCGCCCAGCTTGGCAATGAAATCTGCAGCCCTGAAGTGGTACCTGTAGACCACGTCCCATGGTACCTTGCAGTAGGCCAGGGTGGATGCAGACAACGTCTCAGCTTCCGTGGGGGGATTGTCAGGCTTTTCAGCCCCCACAATGGCAAGGCCCAGACAGTAGGTGTACAGCAGGTCCAAGTACTTGGAGGCACTCTTTTCGGCCTCAGCATCGTCCTGGCCTGAGCTATACCACAAATTCGGCGCCACCTTGCGCTTCTTGACCACCTGGACTCGCTGCTCTCCCAGCGTCTTCACCTGCAAGATTGGGAACACCTCCAGGTTGCTCTTGGCCAGGCCCCTGCTGAGCTTAGTGATGAGCCGATCTCCTGGGAACTGCTCAGCTGGAAAGTGCATCTTGTACCGGGTGAAGAAGGCTTGCTTGATGCCTTGCAAAGTCTGAGGAGGTAACAACTCTTCCTCATCCAACTCCACGGGGGCAGCTCCATCATGGCGTGCCTGCTCTGCTTTGCAGACCGCACTCCAGGCAGCCTTCAGGCGTGCTGCCTGAATCCGCTTCCCCTCCAGGTCCGTGATGCTCTCAACGAACGACGCTGCGGCATCAGCTGCGTCTGCCGGGTAGAAGCGGAAGTCGCTCATGCTGCGAACTCCCAACTCCAGAATCTTCTCTGTGACCTTGGGGTCATAATCGAAGCGCCTCTGGAGCTCTTCAAAAGCTTGCTTCACAGTGGCATCGGGCGCAGGCACAGAAGCTGCCGAGGGCATGGTTGCAACTGAGATGATCGAGGTTTGATCTTACTCGAAACTGCTGCTGATGGGCATGTGATAATGAACACGGATGGAGAAAACACGACCTGAGTGAACCTTGTGGTGCCTGTGAGAACATGACCGCACTAGTTACTGGCTGCTCCCGCTGACTCCATGCAAGAGAAAACTCAACGAACTGACTGCCCTACCATGCTGCAGGGCAACCGTCCGTGTGTCCCGCATCTCATGCAGAGATGACACATTCTGTGGCTGGATCCTTGCATGACCACTACTCTGACCTTGCTGGTTGTAACTCTATTCAACTCCTCCTGAGTGCCGTCCCTGCTGCATGGAACTTCTTTCCCTGCCATGGACGTGCTGGTCGTGACCTAGGTCAAAAACACCGCTTCAGCTATTATCCTTAGTCTTGTAGGTTGCTCCTACGTCTTCCAGCGTTTGCTGGTAGGACGGCGGCAGCATCCATGCACATTGGGTGCAGAACGAAAGTCCATACGCGGCAGCTTCATGCACTGAATTAGCGAGATGCACTTTGTCTCTTCCACCAGCGAAACTCCGAGCTGTTGCTGCCGATCGCCTCCAACGACAAGCTGGAACTGGCTCATCTTCACTCATGCCCTCGGGAACCACATGGAAAAGGGACTTGGCTCGCTGGCTGGCCACAAACTGCACCGGCAGCTTGACTACCAAGCCAGGAAGAGGAGTGAGCTCCGCCTCCTCGAACAGCCATCGTCTCATCGCTGTGTCCTTCAGCGCCTTTTCGGGTTCCACACTTCTTACACGAGCTATCCTGGTCAAAGCCTCTTCGGGCTCCACCTGCTCAATGCAAGACAGGATGGCGCCAGCTCCAATGGGTGCTCGATGAACTCCAGCAGCACAATGGACATAAACACTCTCCTGTGCTGCAAGGGCTTGTCCAACCTGACGCCGAATGGTCGACCAATGCTTGCCCCGCTCCTGCCGGCCCACAGGAAACCTCTGGTTGACAGCTGCTGCTGGCAATGGTCTAGATGACCGTTCCTTGTATGGGAACTCAACCAAAGACATTTGGAGATCAACTCCTTTCGACTCGAAGCATCGCGGAGGAAAACAGAAAAGAGAGAATGCTGAATGAGCTCAGTCTAACAGTTGTATATATATATGTATTTTCCAGGAACGAAAACGCAAATGGAAGCTTCGCGGGCCAAAAACGTTTCACAGGCCCAAGGCCAGCCAAACCTTTTGGGGCGCGAGGCGCACTGCCCACAGCTGCGCACCCTTTGGCTGCGGCAGGCTGGCCCGCGGGCTTCTGCGTCGTGGAGCCACGGGTGGACTAGGTCCCCCAGTGCCCTTTCTCACTTTTTTGGTTGGGAGGGTTCCACGTGTCAAAAAATAGACTACAGAAAAAGTTGGTACCCTTATTCTAACCGCTCTACTGAGTCTCTACTGGAGGACCTAGTGGAGTTTGGGTTTGCCACCCTCAGCGGGCTTTTTGCCAAAGGGGGGGCATGGAGGTGCAAGAAGGTTTGGGGGTTGGAAACGCGAGGTAGCCCAACAAGACTTTCTTTTGAAGAAGTCTCGTTCAAACCAACCCCCCAGTTTCTCCAGCTTGGGTTGCTCACTGAATCCGTGTAAGTGGCTGCGCAGAGTCAAAAGTACTTGAGAACTAAGCGCAACTGAGTGCTTAACTTGCTGGTGGCCGTCCAAGGGGGTTCGAGTTTTGAAACCACCCTGGAAATACGGGAGGGGAGGGAACTTTCCGCATGTTCCGCATGTCACTGGCTGGTTGAGGGTCCAAAACATGTGTGACAGCTTGCCCCCTTGTGCATATTCCCATCCAGTGGATCTAAGACAACTATGCCGCAACCACTTCCAAAAGAAATAACCACGCCGCCGCTTTGTAAATTCGAGGGTGTATCTACCATTAAAGTTGGTAGCAACCTTACAAGTTAATGGCACCCATCCCCCGGCATGAAAAAGGGCGTCCGCCAAAGGGCCCCCTAAAATTAGCGGCCACGAGTCGATCGGGGTCACCGGATGTCCTCTTCAAAAGTTGCAACCGGGTTCCCTATGAAAATGTCAAGCTGACACAACCTGCAGCGGTGGAAGCACCCTTTCTGAGCTTCAGGCCACACGGCACCAGCTTTTTCACTATAAAGGGCCAAGGCAGGTTGAGGGCAAAGGGACCCCCGGCCTTCATGTAGAAGCCCTTTGTTGAGGAGCCCTTTGAGTTTCTGAATAGAAAGATGCGGCAAACGGCAACCCTGAACTCATCTATCTTGCGCCACACCCAGGTCAAAATATCAGCCCCCATCCTCGGCTGCCATTTGGTTAGATCTTCAACCTTGTGACGTTTTGGGTGAAAATGTGTGTTTTCCACGAACCAGCGGCAAGCTCAGTGCCAAAATGGCTACTAGCCATTTTGGCTCAAGCTTCGCGCTTGCCGAACGAGAGATGAGCGCGCACGCCCCGCATGTCGATCGCTGCATCTGGCAAGCGTACCAAGTTTGTGGAACTTCAACAAGCTAGCATTTTGAAATTCTGCGATCAAAAACACGCACTCCATATTGTGGCATCGATCGTTAGCAGCTCTATCCGCTGCTCTGCCGGGCAAACATCCTGTAAGTTGGCGAGGGGGCAAGGAGTCCCACTGTCGAAGCACCTGCGCAGAGAACACACGCTTCCACAGTCGGTGCAGTACGGCGCAGATCGTGATTGGGGGTGTAAGGCCTGGCAAGCCACGCCGCCTCAGTTTTAGGGAGTACTGAGTACTGCGCAGCGCGCTTGCATGAGGTCAGGTGGCCAAGTCTCCTGCTCAAAACCCTGAGGAATGAAAGCGAAGTGCAGGGGAAGTGAGTCAAGCTGCTTGATTTCGCCCGCGTGGAAACCACAAACTCCTTGCGAATTGTGCGGCGCAAGCAGACTAGAATGGCGGTCTTCAGCTTGTTCACCATCTTCAATCTGAGGGCTGCTCCCTCCACTATCTTGCCGTGGGCCTTGTTCAGCTTGCTCACGAATCTTGCAGCGTTTCCCTCAACATCTGTGAGTCGACGTTCCATGGCGCACAGCATTTGTTCCTCCATTTAGGTCCTGACAGAGCGCTCTGTGCTTTTCCTAGGTCGAAGAGGCACATGAGGTGCTCCTCGCTTGTCCCTGAAATCTGAAGACGTCTCTTGCATGGGAGAAACTCCTTGCGCCGTGCCCTCCCATGTCAGTCAGCATATTGTTTGGGTGGACTGGCTTTTGCTGATAATTGCCGGGTTATTCCAGACCCCCTGCGCACAGGGAAACTTGTCAGGCGAGCAGTGCATGAAGCGCCGCCCACGGGAACTTTCCAACCTGGCCATCCTCAGCCAGCGGAAATGTGGAGGTGAAACTTGGCAAGTGCAAGCCCTCTTCCCTAAACGGCTTGTGTGTCTGGCGGTGGATGTTTATGATGCGTAGTGTCTGTGGCAGTGGTGGGCTGCCATCAAATGGCCAACCTGTCAAGGCGAGTCGGATCCAGGTGTCTCTCATTTTCAGTTGCTCCTGTCCTTCCGCTCCAAAGGCAAGCCTATTTCCCATAGCTTTCGTCATAATTATATGTCAGCCCCAGGCATCAGGAACACTTCTAAAAAAGCCTGGATGCCCATAGCGTGTCTGCCTTCGCCTCGACCAATAAGGGCCACCAGGCTCTTTCTCATCTGCCCCATGACCATTGCATTCGCTTCAGATCGTCTTAAGAGCGCTTCGGAAGCTGCAAGAAGGTTCACCGATGTAAGGACCTGCGGCGAGCTGCTGGGTCTTTGTTTCGTTTGTCAGCGGGCCACTGTGCCCCATCGCGTTTGTCTGCATCCGCCATAAGCGTGGAACCAACCAGCAACAAGCTAACCTGTTTGCCCACACAATCACCACAGAGCAATCATACCCCCGCTGTTTTCGTTTTGAGCCTTAAGTCGCCTGACAGGCCCCGCGACTCTCGGATGACGCAGTCACCTACGCCGTGAACCTGCCGCTGACCAGCCTCTCCTTGGCCTATGCCGCAGGCGCGGCGTTTCCCAGGATTTAGCTTTTGTTTTCATTAAGGGACCGTGGTTAGTGACCATTTGATTTGGGTGTGCCTTTTTTTGAGGTACCCCCTTTCTGAAAGTGAGTCCTCTTTGGGGTGATGTTCAAAGGGAAAACATTGGCACCCTGCCCTTCCAGCCTGGTCATTCAGATGTCTTTCGCAGATCAGCCGCCAGGCTCCACATGATGATATGCCTCGATGAATCTTCCCTGGCTGCTAATTGTATTTGTATATGTGTGTGTAGCTTTCTCAGAAGGAAACCCAAAGGGGTGTTGTTTAGACCGACAGCAACTGTGAGTCACCCGTTATTGAGGGCCTTGCATGGCAAACAAAGGGGGTCAGGAACCCGAGACTTGTCCAAGAAGTATAGCTCAAGGTTCCGTTTCTTCATTGGGATCGGTGACTTCGGTGGCTCTGCCGCGGTTTCTGTGTGAAGAATCAGGGGAAGGCGATGAGTTTCAGCCGCTGAAGATGGGAAACACGCAGTCCCTTTCAAATTCCCAAGGTGTGTGGTTGGTTTACCTTCCACTAACATGCAACCTGACCGAGGGCTTCTGGAAAGACCTCTGGCGGGTTCCATATTAGTGAAAAAGGAGGGTACTTGTAATATGCCCCGGGCATCCACTGCATCCGCCCTCGTTCACATGGGCCTTTCTCAAAGTCAGAACCTGCCGTCTCCTCGGTTCTTGGAGCCTTCCCAGAAAATCAGCCGGCATCGGCTTCCGGACTTGGTTTTTGAGATCAGGCCATCCGGGGCGGGCCACCAGGAGTTGGACCAAGGTTTCAGTCCATGTTTCTTTCCATGAGGCAGCCCCAAAATGGGGGGTTGCAACCGATTTTTGTTTGCCCTGCGCCCATTTTCATGGCTTTGGCCAGGGATACAGGAACAAACAAATCATGGGCTTTGGGTTTCCACAGGCTTCACACACCGCCATTTTTAGTGGCAGCTCGCATTCCCAAAAGCTTGCACTGG